GAGGCCCAATGTCCATCTGTTACCTAAATACTAAACCTATAAATATATGCACATAGATCTATTTCCCCATCGTCATATATAAATATAGTTACATATTTCCTTTGACTTTCCTCTTGCCCCACTGTCCTATTCAGCATTCAGTTGGGTTTGAGTAGTTCCTCCCTCCTCGCCACTGAATTTGGCTCAGTTGCTGTTCCCTTGTCCCTGGGTTTGTTAATACCCACCTCCCTCCCCCCCTCCCATGTCCCCTGTAGGTGACTGTTTATCCTACCGATCTTATCTAGATAGACCTACAGAGATAAGAAGCACAAAACACAAGACAGAGCAAAACAAAGCAACAAAAAACCAACAACAAAAAAGAAAAGCCTGTAAATAGTTCAAGGTTGGTTTGTTGACCTTTAGCAGCGCTTTCTGGCCAACTCTAATGGGGTGCCAAGCCCTGGCCCCAAAGTCTATTTTTGGTATTTCCTGGGGACTTCGTTGCTCTGTTCCCCTTGCTGTTGCTCACCCTTAGTGTTTTACCTCAGTGTGGTGGGGTCAGATCGGGCACAATTCCCACACATATAGTACTGTATTTGGCGTGGCAAATAAAACTAACCTACATCATAATTACATATACAAACATTCCTGGGGTGAAGACCAGGTAGTATGGCAGGGACCAGACCAAATACAGGGATACATATGGTAGACAACTAATAAGGAGGTGGAGAAAGGAAAAAAAATAATGATAAAGAAATGGGTAGTGGGGGCACAGGGCACTAACACACCCAAGGGTAGGGTATTGTTTATGTCTCCACAGGGAAAGAGGGATCAGACTTCAACCCAGTGCTCAAAGATGTGAATGCATCATGCCTTCGTGGAGTAGGGAACCCAGTGGAGAGATCTGAGGGGCCGGCCCCAATCCCAACTACTATGTGGACACCTGCCCCTCCCCCCAGAATCTGCAGCTCCGGGAAAGGGACATATCTGATTGGAGCACATGGGAGCAGATGAAGAGGGAGGAGGAGAGAGTGGCGCACATCCTGGCCTACTAGGCCAGGAAGACGATGTTCCTGATTAGAGCAACAACAGTGATTCAAATCAGTGGTGAGTTGAGTGTAGGAGGCCTATTGCGTGAGATCAAGAGTAATGTAACCAAGAGGAATTACTGAAACCCAAATGAAGACTGAGCATGATAGTGGGACAAGAGGAAAGTCAAAGGAAATAGAGGAAAGAGCTA